CGCTTTAAAACCCTGTGGGGAGGGGAAAATTTTTTTTTTTTTTTTTTTTTTTTTTGCTGGGCCTCTGTTTTCGCGGTGTGTTTGTGACGAGGGAGCGCTCTGTTTTCTAGATCCTTGCACAGACTTTTACGCACAGAGAGAGAGATGGAAATAGCAGGAATTCAGATTGTGGACCTATAAATAAGACATCAGCTCAAAAGTGTGCACTCAACTTTTGCCTTTGCCTCCGGAAAGCGGCGGAGCGTGGCAGAGGCAAATTGAAAGCGATGGATGGATCAGGAATGCCTCTTTATTTGCTTGTACACATTCCTTGAGCTGTAAATTAGATGTCACCTTAGTTACATGTCATGTGCTGACGTGGACGCGTTTGCGCCGCTTTTGATTGTTTGTTCCGAGCATCACTTAGATAAACAAAGTCTTGACTCGCCTCCAGTCATCATCGGGACATTGCGAGTGACTGGCAGGTTGTTTTGGTGGGCGGACTTGCTCTGGTGTGAATTATGTAAGAAAATCACGCAGAAAGCCGGAGCTTTACCGCCTTTCAAGACCATTTCCATCCCCCCCCCCCCCCCCCTTTTTTTTTTTTTTTTCTCAGTACAAACACTGACCTCGTTGTTTGTTGTTGTTGTTGTTGTTTTTTTTTTTGGAGCATTTGCAAGAGACGGCTCATACGTGTGAATTAGAACAAAAAAGATACTTTGTTTTCAAATTGTTTGTCAAAGAGAAAAAGAAAACGCTTTGCATTTGTATTTAGTTCTCTTTACCCTAAAAAATTATTTCAGGAGATCTGACTTTTATGGAAGAGTGGCAAAAAGAAAGTCGAGAGAAGTTCACTTTAAAGTTTTCCACATCGTGTAGGGGGAAGGTTAAACGTGTGGAATAAAGTGTTCTGGTTGGATTAAGTTAAAATGGAGCTGTTAAACCAAGGTGCAAAGTGCTATGTGTGGCATACAATTATTGCCACCACTCTAAATACACAATTCCCTGGTATTAAATTGCCTTTTTAATGTATTAAAAGGGCCTAGTCAAAGTCCACACCACAATTGTACTGAAAATCTGTGGCAGGACTTAGAAATTGATGCTCACAAATGCCATTTTGTTTAGGTTATCTCTTTTGTGAAGATGAATGTGCAAAAAGTTTAAGTGTCTAAACGTTTGAAGAGACCTGCAAAAGCAGAAAGAGGAAATCCTACAAAAACCGTATTTATATTTGTGCTTGGAACATATTCGTATTAAATCCACACGACTGGCAGGAAAACACGTGCGTGAATACAACAAAAATATTTCACAGAGCTACTTTTTTTTTTCAAGTTGGTTCAGCAGAGCCTTTATTTTGACTCGAACATTTTTTCCCCCCCAGTTAACACATAAACAGAAAAGAGTATCGCTTGTTTGCATTTTGTCAGATCTTTGAAAGCATTTCCCTGCCTAGCAGCACATCTCAAACAGCGACTGTTATTACGCCTGTCTCAGCAAGCCACCTAACGACGACGACAACAACACAGCAGCAGCAGCAATAAAGCCCCAGATGTTTCGCCTCGGCGTGTTTATTTACCTGTCATGCTCCCCTAATTGTTTCGTCTGCTACAAACAAACACTTCGCCTGGTGCATCTCTGTTTGCACGCCGTTCGCCAACAAACAGGCTCGCTCGGCGGCAGGTTGTTTGTGATGATGTGTGGCGCGTGCAGAAGGGATTAAAAGAAAAGGTGACTCCACACCGGCACGGTGATTTGTACGAATGCCAGAGGGAATGGGATTCATGGAGGGAGTGGAGAGGGGGGGAGGGGGGGGAGGGGTTTAAGGTGTGCATGCAGGCAACATCTGCTGAGATTCTTCTCCACAATAAAAAAAAAAAAATCCTTAAGCTGTATATTAACACCTGTACTCTGAAGATTTACAGCTAGAGCTGCCCTTTCATGGAGACATTTGATTTTAAATTAGGCTTTACGAGCTTAGGAAAGAAAGACTGCGAAACATTACAGCAACTTCCTCGGTTACTTTAATCATACACGTATACAAACGGGGTAACACTTTATTTGAAGGGGGTGTGAATAAGACTGTCATGACACCGTCATAAACATGACATAACACCTGTCATGAACATGAATAAGCCTTCATGAATATTTATGACTGTTGTCATAAAGCGTCATTCGGTAAATTATGACACTTTTAATACAAAGTTGACATTATTCAAAATGTCTTTGTTATGACAACTTGACATTAACCAAGAAATCATTACTGTTTAAACTTTACCTTTAATAACATAAAGTTACCTAATTTTTAAAGTGCAATCAGTAATACTTTTATAACAAATTTATATCAACAATGATTTCTTGGTTAATGTCAAGTTGTCATAACATAAGATTTGCAGATATTTTTGTCTTCTTGACACTGACAAGGTAAAGTTGTATTTAATTTTTTATTTTTTATTTTTGGTATCATTCTGACATCAACTAAATACAGAACCAGCATTGCAGATACTGATACCGATACTGATACCTTTTATTTCAGTTTTTTGTATCATCAACCTTGTGACCTTTTGGTGTTTTTGTCGTTTTTCTTTTGCGTTATTTTGTTCAAACCTCAGAGAGAATTTGGACAAAGTTTATAGGCGTCTAGAAAATACTTTCATATGATATCAACATGATTTTATGTGCCTTTTTCCTAAATGGACACAAAAATAAGGATAAAGAAGATTTAATACGAGAGAAAATCAAAACGATCCAGTTTGAGGTAGGTTTGAGAACTCGCAATACAAAAATAAAATAAAATTTTAATTGGGAATGTCAAACTTAAGTATATCTTACCAGTATCAGTCCAATACTGACACTGACTTCGTATCAATATTTTCAATTGATTTGCTCACAATTACTTTCAACCAATCCAAATGAATGAACTTACAATAAGTTTAAACATAAAAAAAGAGATGGAGCTCTTTCTTTTTCTATTAATTTCTCTCAGTATTGCCAAGTTTAACTTTCAGTGTGTAAATAATCCTTCAATCTGTAAGACAAATAATCTTTACATTCTTTAAAAATGGCTGTATAAAATTTCCCAGACTAATGGGCAGCAACAGTTGCTTCACACAAGTCGTTTTGTACTGTTTGCAATCTAAATTAAAAATGTATTATGTTTTGGGTTATTTTCACTGGCCACACCAAGTCCTGCATGACTTGTGAAAACAAGGAATAACTTTAATGGAAACGGTCTGATAATATGTTATAGGCCGAAAAGTCTTAAAAACAACACACCCTGCTCTGACGTAAAGAAATTCAACAACACACGAGAAACATAATTGACATCCATCAGTTTGGAAATCCATTGAAAGCCATTTGTAAGACTGAGACTCCAGCAAACCACCATGGTAGCTCTAATCCACAAATGAAGAAAACATAGAGCTATGGTGAATCTTTCCAGGAGTAGGAAGAAGCCTAACAAAATTACTCAACGAAAACATCTCATCCACACGGATACATAAAATAACCCAGAAAAACAACTAACACACCGCAGGCCCAAGTAAGGTCAGGATAATGGATTCAACAGTTGGACGGAAACCGGGCCAAGCTGTATCCAGTTTCAAGGCAAAAGACACTGATGACCAAAAATGCCATTAACGCTCGTCTCACATTTGCCCAGAGAATGTTGATGTTCTCCAAGACTTTTGGGAAAATATTCTGTGGACTGCCTAATGACCTTCGTGACTCGCCTTAATCAATGGAACCATGAATCCTGCCGTCTACTAGAAATTCAGGAAGAAGAAGAATGTTTTCTCTTTAAAATGTTTAGCTTCAGCTCAGGCACATTTGGATTATACAAAAGAACAATGATTAAAAATACAACAGCATGGCCACTTTGGAATGGTTTAAGAAAAATAAAATAAAATAAAAGGAAGAGGGCCTGGTTACAATCCAGATTTGAATCTGATCAAGATCTTCTGATGTGACCTGAAACAGCTTCATGCTTGCAAAGCCTGCAACATGGCTGAATTTGAACAATTCTGCAAACAAATATGGGCTTAAGTCCCTCCTCAGTGGCGTAAAAGACTCATTTCCATGTGATAGAAGCAAACTGTACAGAGACGGTTTGCTTTGGATCGCTTCTTTTCACTCTAGGAACTCTTGATGCTTTACCTAGTTGGGCTTATCTAATTCATACATGAGGCCTCTTTCCTTTTTACTTGCTTTAGTTCAGGCAAAAAAAAAAAAAAAAAGAAACATTAATTTGTGTCTCAATACAGTGAACAAGTATAACAGATAAAGCAATTAAACACAACTGAGGGATTTTTCACAGTGATGCATAATTTTGCCCATTGTTCCTAAATTCCTCCATATTTCCATTCAGCCAGGTACCAACTCCGAACCTTAACATGGTAAAAATGTATTTTTCCTCCCAGAAGAAGAATAGGCTTGTGAAATAAATGTGGTTGAAAAGTGGTACAAAATGAATGAGTTTCAGGATGTGAGCTCATCCCGTGTAAGTCGGATGAAACACTTTGCAAACCGCTCGTAGACGTTTTCATGAGGGAAAGAAAAGAAGAGAAGATTCGGGGGTATAACTCCCCGAATCTTTGGAGGAAGTACATTGTTTATCCAGTAACGTCAGATAAAGTACAAAAAATACACAAAAGTTCAAACATATTTAAGTGTCTTGAAAGTGGCGGCAAAATAAAGAAAAGAAAAAATTTATTGTCTTTAATTTTTAGAGAAAGGACGAAAGTTATATAAAAATAAAAATGTATTTTACTTGATGTTTTTTTTTCTTGTTTTGATACTATATTATATGTTCACTCTGAAAAACAATGAGTTTGAAGTGCGTTCAGTCACCTTGTTGCACGTACTACCAGTTGGTGGCGGTAATGCGTCCTTCAGTTGTTTGCCAACCGCCAATAAAACTCAGGAAGACGACGAAGAAGAACCGCCTCGTTAAGGTAACACAGAACAGGTGTGCTTAATCAAGGGCATACAACGACTACAGTATAACGCAAGCTGGAGTGCAATGTTTAGGTTAGTATTGCTTTTATTCTAATTATGGCCGCCTATTTGTTTACTTATTTTATTTTGGGACCGGCTAAAAATAGTTTTACTTTTGGCTGCAGTTGAGGAACACTTCAACGGAATGTTTTTTCTTTGTAGAAATAAAGTTTTCTCGAAAATTTGTTTCTTAGCTCGCACAAGTAGAGTAATGTTCACATAAATGTTGCACAGCAAAGTGTTCATTTGCGTTTAGTCTTGATAATTACGGCTTCCAATGACCCAGTCGACAGTTCGGTTTCTTACTATATTCAAATATTGCCTTGGATAATATCAAATAGCTACAGACATATTCAAATAAAATGTAAGAAATTCTAGACTTTTCTCTAAGGAGATTTCTGGACAACCGTTTAAACGCTGCAAACATTGATCTGTGTGTAGTAGCTCGAAGTACAGTCACCACCCCTGGTCCACGCTTTGTACATTTCCTCTCGAACCCTTAATCAGGCTTTCCTACAATATCATTTGAAGGCTGTGGTTATCCCTATTGCTTTGGCAACTGTTGCTACCACGCTTTGTACTTCAGCTAGACTTTCCATACATATGTTTGGATGCGGCTCTGTAAACAGCCAGCTCCTTCAGCAATGACCCTTTGTGGGCTTCTCTCTCTGTAGTGGGTTTCAGTGACTGTACCAGCTGTTAAATTAGTACGTGGTGTAGACTGTGACATCATAATGTGTTTGAATGTGATTTTTGAAATTGCTTTTATGTAAAAATTCATATTACAATTAACCTTGGGTTTGCAGTGGCTATAGGTCACAACTATCAAAATGAACCGATATTATGTAAAATAAATTGGTTTGAAATGTTGCTTTGAAATAAGACTTTTTAACAGGAATATTTGTATAATCTAAAAACATTAAAATGGTTTACATTTTAAAATATCTAATTAATGTTGGCACTGTACAGTGGGTGAAACTGCCTTGCAGTGTTGCTTTTGTCAGAACACTTTGAAAAGGCACAATTTACTCTGTCAATACTTTAACCATATCTATGTACAGCAATAAAATTATCTGCATCTCATTTCTTTTGTCATATTTATTTATTTTTCCCTACAAACCGAATTTTAGATATAGACCCAATCTTTTTCAAAGTGTTCTTTGCATCATCTCTATGATACAAGTTGGAAAACAAGAACATTCTTAAATCTTTGATTTCCAGATGGGACCGTGCTTCTTCTGAGCAGCCACGTTCGGTGGTGTTTGTAGTTACACATTCCACTTACAGTTTGACTGCAGGAGTCCATTGGTGATGATAAATACTGCATGTTTGCTCCCGTTTGACAGAACAGTTCTGAGGAGCTGCCTAAATAAGCCATCTTGCCGTTTTTGAAGCCACCGGAAAGCCACCAGTCGCAGTCGCGAGCACCTTTTTGAAGAGGCCGAGGACGGCAAGTCAGCAGGAGGAAGATGAAGAGGAGGAGGCTTCACGTCGAAGATGCCACCGCTCATATGTCGCAAGGTGATGAAGTACACATATCTGCCCTTAAAGAATTTGTGCCCTGCAGACGCATGCCAGATTTATGTCTTTTCTTTCCCTCTCCTGCCCCATTCTTCAACATTCAAACACGTTGCAACAAAAGGCGGTTTGAAATACTACCTCCACCCCTCCTCCCGCGCTCCACCCACCCACCCACAAAAAAAAAAAAAAAAAAAAAAAGAATATTGAAGACGGTCGAACTCGCAGGTTAAAAATGTATATGCAAATGCAGGCTACATTAGAGCACACGGAGGTTGTTAATAAATTAACACGTGGCAGAAATAATTCAGTTTAGCGTGATAATTCTTGGGTGTGAGCTGTCAGCCGTCGCATTGTTCCAGGATGGAAAGTGACGCTGAAATGGCAACACGAGCGGTGAACTGTGATGTTTTAGTGTACCTCCATTCGGCGCGCTCTGACACAATAACTGCCTTTTGCTCGCCTCGCTCTACTTTTTCTTTCCTTTTTTTTTTTGTCATTTCGGCAGAACAAAAGGTTTAATTAAGGATGCTTTCCGAAGGGAAGCCGACACGAAACGCACACATCTCAGCCAAAGGTGTGCGTTTTTGCGAGGATCGAGTCGAAACCGACTCTTCGTGAACCAGATGCGTCTTTAAAAGTTTTGTGAATTTCATCCCCCCAACATTGATCATCACTATTCATGACTTATGCAGAGCGTGTGATACGCCAAATGTTATGTCTCCTCTCAGGTTGCCATAGCTGCTAAGCTGCCGAATGTAGGAGGACATCTTAGCGGGGATGTTGTGTGACGAGTTCGTTTCTTCCCCTTGCCTCGGCCTGGAGATTTGCATAGCAGGAACCCGGGGAACTGACACTCTGTTTGTGTAGCTCAAGGTGCAGCGGATATGCAAAGTGTCAAGTGACTCACAGTCAAGTTTTTTTTAATAAGTGCCATTTGTTCAATCTGTTGTTTAAACATTCCCGTCACCTCCATGTATCCTTAAAGACTGGCAGCCTCGCTATCTTTTAATTAAGTCTTGGACTAATGTGGCACTTAATTGTCTAATCTTGGAAGATGTTGTTTTCTCTAATTTACTTGGAAAAAGTATCGTAAGCTAAGCTTTTTAATTTGGGTCTGTGGAGGCTGGGGTTTAGTGGGTTCCCAATGAATGAGGGAACATTTCAAAAGAGAAGAAACTTCTTTTCAATTTGAACGAACAGGACTTTATATTGTATTTAGTTTATATTTCTTTCCTTTCTTACAGTTTTCCCTGCTGATCTTTGTGGTAAAATTTGAAATTTACAAGAGGTTCATGGCCTCATTTGCAATGTTGTGCCTCAATAATTGGTGCCAGTGCTGTTAATATTTACCCAACAGCAGTTGGTATTCTTCTATAACTTTTCATGAGGTTGGTGCATACAGAGAGAGAGAGATCATCTGCATCGCAGAGATTTTCTGTAGAGTTTGTGTTGGGGCTGAAATAGTCTTAGAAGATAGTTTTTGTGTCTAAATATGTTAATTTTGCCTTATGCTTTGGATGATTGTTCTCCTGAGAGACCCAGTCACCATCCATTTTCAGATTTTTTGGTAAAACCCATTGGAATTTTATCAAATACCTTGATAATTTACTGTAACATTCTGCCAATGACAGCTGAAAGAGGAACAGGCCCTTAGCATCAGAGCTGCTCCTCCCTACTTGACAGTGAACATGAGCTGATTTTCAACACATCTGTCCTTCCTGATATCCCAATTCCACCAGGAGTGTTTGATGCCTTAAACTTCAGTCTCTGTCTTCTCTGGGCAAAGCACACAATTCAAGTCTCAACAAGAAGAATCTAATTCACGACCTTAAAAAGAGCTTGGAAACAAGCACTTGTTTATGTTCGTGATGGTAGAACAGAAACGGCCAGCTACATATTCTACAAACTCCTTTGCATACATTAATATCAATTGTTTGGAGAGTTACCTAGAAATGTTGTACCAAGTTCCGTCTGAAATTACTTTACAAGAGCAGCTTCATTACTGTGATGGGAAAGAAAACATTCTTTTTTCAGGCTTAATCTCTCTTGTCATTTGGTGAAACAAAAACTTAATTCAACAGTACAGTTTTCCAGAAACTTTGCCAAATATTCACTGAAATGTATTCATCTGTTTCAAATCTTCTAGGGGGATATAAATATTAGAGTGGAATTTTTTTCAATTTTTGAAGGGATTTGTCGCAGTTTCAGTTTTGACTTTTATATTTGTTTGTTTTTATGAAATGAATCATTCCTTTCTGCAACAATGACTCTGCAATGATTTAAATCTAGTCCACGGAACAAAGTTTTGCAAAGCTCTGCAACCTGCTGCAGTCAGATTGTCAAGTGAGCGACAGCAGGAAACCCAGAATACAGTTCAAGGAGGAAATGCAAGGCCAGCCCTGATGCGGGGTCACCACATGCCAGGGTTATGATTAAATGGAAAAAGTGGCGTCAGAGAAGGGTGATAGGACAGCGGAGTGAAGGGCCTGTAAACAATGACTCACTTGGCTTGCAAAAGAGGGGAAGAGTGGGAAGGAAGCAGACGACAGCAACCAAAAGTTCTCCAAGTGTGTGTGTACATGTGTGAGAGAGAGTCTGAGACAAATGGGCCTCTGTCAGGAAATCCCAGCAGACTCTGGATTTCATTCTGTCACTCATAGATTTACAAACACTCATCCACAAATGCAAAGGCTTGTAAATATAACTGGAACCCCAAAGAAGAGATAAAGTTTCTTAAAGTAGTTGTTCAGTTTCCACAAATGGGGTGCAAAAATCTCATGATTTCAAATAGACCTCAGTGTTTCTGAATCCTCCCTTTTTTTGGGAAAGAGACACACAACAGAAAAGCCCCCACAGAAGTCATTATGTGCCAAAAAAAATCTGGAAAAAAAGACATATTAAAACCAATGTCTCATGGGAGTTTTAACCCTTTATATACCTCAGCTTTGAAGTAAGAAAAATAGTGGGCCCAAGGAGTTTTGTGGTACATTCCTAGAAAAAAACTGTAGACATAAGATTCTTTCTGCATTTTTAGCAGGTTTTCTTCACTGCATTTTGATAACAAATTGCTACGCTACCACCTTAGTACTTCTGGTGTTGGGCCACTCCTGCGAAAACATCAGAAGCATCTTATCTGGTATGAGTAGACGGATAATTTGACTGTTACTCAGTGGACCAAAGTAATCTGCAGCTCACAAAGAAGGGTCTGAAAAATCTTCCAGATTTTTTTTTTTCTGAGCTGAAAATAACAAAAAAGCAAAATTAGGCTTGGAAAAAAAGATGAATTTCCAGGTTTTAGGACATGAGCACATGGTGTCTTTTTTTTTCTGTGATCCCAAAGTAATAGAGGTTAACAAGACAAGTTCTCTTAGAAAATGTCTTTCAGATGAGTGACAAGAATTTACTGAAAAATAGAGCTTAGGCTTTTTCTTTTTTCAAGAAAACAAGGAATATGACAAGAGAAACACTTAATTGTGACAGACATATAAATGGGAACAAAAATGAACAAACTTAGCAGTTTAAACTGGTTGAGTCTTCCTTCTAAATTTACGTTGCTGTATGGGATGGCAATTTCAGGAAGCATAGTTCATACTGATCCAGGAACTGTTTGTTCCTTACACACACTCACAAAAACATCTTTGCTATATTCAGACACACAATATGCTAACAATACAACAGAAGCACTTGCATACACACCAATATCCAATAAATAATTGAATCTCCAGTGGCTACCCTCAGAACTGCAGTGATACATTAATTGGGCAAAATTAGCATGAATTAAAGCAAATAAGTGTAACATGTAATTTATTACTTATCAAGTGTAGTTTAGCGGTGGAAAGCTCCGATTTCCCCCCAGATTGCTTTAACAGCTATAATGCATTTCTTAATTTACTCTGTGGAAAATCAATTTTTTTTTTCAGAGTTCATTAGGCACCAATATGTTACAATGCTGCTCCCTTGAGCACCCAGCTACAAAAAATATTATGCAAATTTCTGCTAGTGCATCTGTATGTAAATAGCAACCAAGTCCACAGTCAATTCTCTATGGGAAGCTTTGTTAGCAGGCCCTTTGTTTCTAAGCTTGAACCTTGTTCATGATAGTCAGGAAATTGGGAAATGGCTGCGTATGACAGGTGAGGGCAAACGAACCCAAGATCAGATTTGTTCTACAGTCTCATTAACTTATTTCAACAATTTTCAGAACATCGTGGGCCAACACACTGGTTAGTTTGGATGATCAAATAGTTTTATTGCAGTGAGGATGTTTATGTTGGCTTCATATTGATTGAAGATTTCCATCTGCAACAAAACATCTTTTAGTTACTCAGATATTTTAGGCAAATTCAGCAGATGATTTTTATACATAAGCACTGCGTGGCCGAATTTGCAATTAATTCATTTAAGTAAAAGAACAACCGTTAGCAAATCTACATTAAATACAAAGATTTTCTTCTGTCCAAGCAAGATTAAAGTTCAGATTAAACAATGAAAAAGTGCCTGATGCCCTGTAAATGTTGTGTGAATGGATGAAATGGGACAACTAGGCCTCACTGTCTTGTTTCTTAGGTTAGTATACATTTGGTTGAAGTTTGTCATTTCTTTAATGCAATGTCATCAGCAGTTCCACTAAGATCTACTGTACAATCTTACAATTACATTGGCTTCCATACTAATTTCCGCTGCAACCTATTGCTATTCTAAAAAAGGCAATAGAACAGGATTTATTTAGTCTTACTTTGTTTCATCACAGAAACACAGTAAGATTAAAAGCTGCCTTACATGACTAGCATTACACATAGATATTTTGGAGGAAGTCTTTGAGTTATGACTTCCATTTGTTCTTGGACCAAGTTAGAGAAATTAACTGGAAGGCCTGCAGAATTATGTGTTCTTATCAAAGTTGTAAAGTTGACTCAGACCTCAAAAATTCAATATGGCCTTCAAGCCATACTTGACAGGGGAGCACAGTAATAAACCATTAATTTGCACTGATGTCATTA